CAGCCCTTCTAAACAACAATGGCAACAACAGCAACAACAAAACAAAAATAGTTGGGCATTGTGGCAGGTGCCTGTAGTCCCAGCTACTTGGGAGGCTGAGCAACAGAATTGCTTAAGCTCAAGAGTTTGTGGTTGCTGTGAGCTGTGACAACATGGCACTTGACCAAGGGCAACATAGTAAGACTCTGTCTCAAAAAAAAATCAGAAATGGAATTCAGAATATGGATGGCAAAGAATACAAATATGATTGAAGAGAAAGTAAAAACAAAAATGAACAAACTGAGAAAATATTTCAGGAAATGAATGAAAAATATGAAAAACTCACTGAAGAGATAGACAAAAAGGAAAGGATATAAATGAATATCTAAAAATTGAAAGAATAATTTAGGGAATTACAAAATACAGCAGAAAGCTTCAACAACAGACAGGCCAACCAAAAGAAAGAGTTTGAAGACAAAGCTTTCAAACTAACCTAGTTAGTCAAATAGGCAGAAAAAAGTATAAACAAGAATGAACAATGATGCAGACAAATAAGGGACTTTGTGAAATGAGCCACTATCTGAAACATAGGTACCACAGAAGTAGAAAAAAGAAAAAGAAAAAAGAATGAAAAACATTTGCAAGGGAATTATTAAAGAGAACTTCCTTGATATAGCCAGAAATTTTGATATCCACATACAGTAAGATCATCAAAGTCTGAGAAGATTGATTGCAAATAGAATATCTCCAAGACACATAGTAATCAACCTAGGCAAAGTCACAATGAAGTAGAAAATTGGACAAGCTGCAACATGAAAGAAACAATTAACCTACAAAGGAAAACCTATTACGATAACAGCAGACTTCTCAGTGGAGAAGCCAGAAGGAATTGGGGCCCCATTTTTTTTTAGTAAGTCATATACACATAGATTGTGTATACATTAATGCATTTATGGGGTACAACGCACTGATTTTATATATAACTTGGAATGCTTAGATCAAATTAGTTCATATAGGGTTTCACCTCATTTAATCATTGTGTTAGAACATTGATATTCTATACTTACTAGATATGACATGTATAGAACAAATGCCAAGCAAGAATTTTATATCCTAAAAACCAAGTTTCATTAATGATGAATAGAAAAAGACTTTTTCAGATAAACAAACACTAAGGGAGTTCATCCCTACTAAACATACCCAACAGGAAATGCTCAAAAGTGAATTATACATGCAACAGCACAATAGATACCTACCAATATAAAAACACTCAAGAGTTAAATCACAGCTCTTATAAAATAATAGCACAAGAGGGAAAACAAAACAATGTGTCATCCAAGGTGATGAACAGAACAGCATCCTACAAGTCAGTACTAACACTTAACAATGAATGGTCTGAATGCCCCGATTAAAAAATGTAGACTGGCAGAATGGATGAAAAATCACAGCCCAAGCAACATCTACACCACAAGGACTCACACAGACTCCAGGGAAAAGAATAGGGAAAAAATTCCACATAAATGGAAACCAAAAGTGAACAGGTGTAGCCATTGTCATATCATAGGAAACAGACTTTAAACCAATAATGGTTAAACAAAAGACAAAGATGGTCATTATATAATGGTAAAGGGAAGAATTCAACAAGAAAACATGATAGGGTGGGCACAGTGGCTCAAACCTGTAATCCTAGCACTCTGAGAGGCCAAGGTGGGTGGATTGCTTGACAGGAGTTTGAGACCAGCCTGAGCAACTTGAGACTCCCATCTCTACAAACAGAAAAACTAGCTGGGCATTGTGGTGGGCACCTGTAGGCCCAGCTACTCAGGAGGTTGAGATAAGAGGATCATTTCAGCCTAAGAATTTGAGGTTGCTGTGAGTTATGACGCAATAGCACTCAACTCTGGAGTGACAAAATGAGACTCTATCTTTAAAATAAATAAATAAATAGCAATCCTAAACATATACGCGCCTAACACAGGAGCTTCCAGATCAAAGAATCTGTGGATACATTATCTTATATGGGTTTAACAATGCAGATAAAATTAAGGCTGTTATTTACATAACTTAAAATAAGTAGATTATCCTGCATTATGTAAGTGGGCCCTTCAATGTCGAAGATGAAGGTAGCAGTATTGGTTAGGCACAGATGTGGCATGAAAAGCCCTCAATCAGACCTTTGCTGACTTTAAAGATCGAGAAAGAGGCACATGAGCCCGGGAATGCAGGTGACCTCTAGAAACTAGAAACGGTCATTAGCTTACAGCCAGCAAGAAAATTGGGACCTCAGTCTTACAAATGCAAGGAACTGAATTCTGTCAACAACCTTGATGAGCAAGATAACACAGATTTTTCCCCCAGTGCCTCCAGAAAAGTCATCTCTGTTGACAACTTGATTTTAACTCAGTAAGACACTTACTGGACTTCTGACCTATGAAAACTTGTAAGACCAGTAAATTTGCATTGTTTGTAGAAACTTGCTATGACAGAAATAGAAAACTAAAATAGTGAGGAAAAAAACAGACCCAGGTACTGGTAGTCCCCATGTTACGAACAAGATAGGTTCTGGAGGTTCGTTCGTAAGTTGAATTTGTAAAGTTGGAAGGGGTACATTCACCTATTACCTGTAATAGCCTCTGTTCACAAGTGTGAGTTGCACATCAGTCAGATGTTTGTAACTTAGGGACTGCCTAAGTTACAAAGTAGCCTAAGTTACAAAGTAAAACTGATAGCTATCAGAAACGAAGAAAATTTTCATAGTAAGTAGAGAACAAAGGTCTATTATCTTCAAAGGAACAATAGTAAGCTTGACAACTGATTTTTTTCAACAGAAATAGTAAAAGAAGACAATAGTATGACATATTCAATGTGCTGAAAAAAGTGCCAGTGTAGCAAAAATTATTTGAAAATGAAGGGTGAATCAAATATGTTCTAAGATTTCCTCAAAGAGATATAAATAGACTTTCCATTTGATCCTGCAATCCCATTACCAGGTATCTACTCAGAAGAAAAAAAAATCATTTTATACAAAGACATTTGCATTCAAATGTTTATAGCAGCTCAATTTACAATGGCAAAGACATGGATACAACCCAAGTGCCCATCAACCGATGAATGGATAAATAAACTATGGTATATGTATACCATGGAATACTATTCAGCCATAAAGAAAGATGGAGACTTCACATTTTTTTGTATTTACCTGGAAAGATTGGGCGAACATCCTCCTGGGTAAAGTATCATAAGAATGGAAAAGGAAGCATCCAATGTACTCAATAGTAATATGAAACTAGTAAATTAACAACTACACACCCACACGAGAGAAATACATATTTAAATTCAAGAATGGGGGAGAGAGGCAGGAGGAGGGCATGTGGTAAGCTCTCACCTATCTGGAACACCTTCTGGGGGGTGAAGGGCTCAAATGCAACTTGGACTTAACCTAACAAATGCAAATTATGTAACTTATGTACTCTTATATTAATCTGAAATTTAAAAAAAACCAATATATTTTAAGATAAACAAAAATTGAGAGAATTTATCAGATATTCAGTAGAAGAAATAACTGATGGGAGTTACTCAGGCAAGAAGAAAATAGTGTGAGATAGAAGTAAGGTAATTCAGGAAGAAATGAAGAAGACTAGAAAGGGTTAATATGGGTAAACTTATATGAATATTGGCTACTTAAACAACAACAATAATACCCTTTGGTGTTCAAAACACATGCTCAATTAAAACATCATTAGATGGCTTGGC